CTGAGGTTTGCTTCATGACCCAAGGTATGGTCTATCCTGGAGAATGTTCCATGAGCACTTGAGAGGAAAGTTTATTCTGTTGCTTTCAAATGGAATGTTCTATAAATATCAATTAAGTCCCTTTGGTCTATGTGTCATTTAAGGTCTGTGTCTTTACTGGTTTTCTGTCTGGATGATCTGTCCATTGATGAAAGTGGGGTGTTACAATCCCCCACTATCATTGCATTATTGTCGATTTCTCCTTTTATGGCTGTTAGCATTTGCCTTATATTTTGAGGTGCTCCTATGTTGGGAGCATATATATTTACAATTGTTATATCTTCTTCTTGGATTTATCCCTTGATCATTATGTACTGTCCCTGCTTTGCCTCTTGTAACATTCTGTATTTTAAAATCTATTTTGTCTGGTATGAATAGTGCTACACCAGCTTTCTTTTGATTCCCATTTCCATGGATTATCTTTTTCCATCCCCTCACTTTCAGTCTGTATGTGTCCTTAGATCTGAAGTGGGTCTCTTGTAGACAGCATATATATAGGTCTTGTTTTTATATCTATTCAGCCATTCTAGGTCTTTTGGTTGGAGTATTTAATATATGTACATTTAAGGTAATTATTGATATGTATGTTTTATTGCCATTTATTAACTATTTTAGATTTTTGGGGGGTCTTTTTTCTCCCTTTGTCTTTTGTTCTCGTGTTGTGATTTGATGTCTATCTTTAGTGATGTGCTTAGATTGCTTTTTCTTTTTTGTCTGTGTATCTATTGTAGATTTTTGTTGTGTGGTTCCCATGAGGTTTCGATATAGCAGTCTATATGTATACCAGACTGTTTAAAATTGTTGATCTCTTAGTTTCAAATGCGTTTCCAATATCCTGTATTTGTACTCCCCTCTTCTCACAATTGCTTGTTTTGATATCATATTTGTGTGTGGATGAATTCCTACCTTTACTTTATGTTTGCCTTTAATGGTGAGCTTCTCCATTCATAATTTTCTTTTTTCTTGTTGTGGCCTTTTCTTTTCCGCCTAGAGAATTTTCTTTAGGATTTTTTTAATGCTGGTTTGGTGGTGCTGAATTCTCTTAGCTTTTGCTTGTCTGGAAAACTTTTGATTTTTCCATCAAATCTGAATGAGAGCTTTGTTGGATAGCGTATTCTTGGTTGTAGGATTTTCCCTTTCATCATTTAAAATATGCAGAGCCATTCCCTTCTGGCCTGCAGAGTTTCTGCTGAAAAATCAGCTGATAGCCTTATCAGGGTTCCCTTGTGTGTTATTTGTTGATTTTCCCTTGTGGCTTTTAATATTTTTTCTTGTCTTTAATTTTTATTTGTTTCATTAATATGTGTCTCAGTGTGTTAATCCTTGGGTTTCTCTTGTATGGGATTCTCTGCATTTCCTGGACTTGAGTGACTGTTTCCTTGCTAAAGTTAGAGAATTTTTGGCTATAATCTCTTCAAAAATATTCTCAGGCCCTTTCTCTCTCTCTTCCTATCCTGGGACCCCTTTAATGCAAATGTTGGTGCATTTAATGTTGCGCCAGAGGTCTCTTAGACTGCCCTCATTTCTTTTCATTCTTTTTCCTTTATTCTGTCTTGTGGCAGTGATTTCTACCATTCTGTCTTCCAGCTCACTTATTCGTTTTTCTGCCTCAGTTACTCTGCTATTGATTCCTTCTAGTGTATTTTTCATTTCACTTATCGTATAGTTCATCTCTATCTGTTCTTTAAATCTTCTAGCTCTTTGTTAAACATCTCTTGTAATTTCTTGGTCTGTCCCTCCATTCTTTTTCTGAGATCCTGGATGATCTTTACTATCATTACTCTGAATTCTTTTTCAGGTAGTTTGTCTATCTCCACTTCATTTAGTTGTTCTTGTGGGTTTTTATTTTGCTCCTTTGTCTGGAACATTTTTCTCTACTGTCTCCTTTAGTCTAGAAATACACCCACACACCTATGGTCAATCTACGACAAATGAGGCAAGAATATACAATGGAATAAAGACAGTCTTTTCAGTAAGTGGTGTTGGTAAAACTGGAGAGCTACATGTACAAGAATGAAATTAGAACATTCTTTAACATCATACACAAAAATAAACTCAAAATGGATTAAAGTCCTAAATATAAGACCAGATACTATAAAACTCTTAGAGGAAAACACAGGCAGAACACTCTTTGACATAAATCAGAGCAAAATATTTTTTGAGCCCTCTCCCAGAGTAATGGAAATAAAAACAAAAATAAACAAATGGGACCTAATTAAACTTAAATGCTTGTGCACTGCAAAGGAAACCATAAACAAAATGAAAAGACAACCCACAGAATGGGAGAAAATATTTACAAACAAAGCTACCAATGAGGGATTAATCTCCAAAATATACAAACAGCTCATGCAGCTCTATGTCAGAAAAGCAAACAACCCAATAAAAAATGGACAGAAGGTCTAAATAGACATTTCTCCAAAGAAAACACACAGATGGCCAAACAGCACATGAAAAGATGCTCAACATCACTAATTATCAGAGCAATGCAAATCAAAACTACAAAAGGTATCACCTCACACCGGTCAGAATGGCCATCAACAAAAAGTCTACAAACAATAAATTCTGGAGATGGTGTGGAGAAAAGGGAACCCTCCTACACTGTTGGTGGGAACGTAAATTGGTACAACCACTGTGGAGAACAGTATGGAAGCTACTTAAAAAATGAAAAGTAGAACTACCATATGATCCAGCAATCCCATTCCTGGGCATATATCCAGAGAAAACCATAATCCGAAAGGATACATGTACCCCAATGTTCACTGCAGCACTATTTACAATAGCCAAGATTTGGATGCAACCTAAATGTCCATCTAGAGAAAAATGGATAAAGAAGATGTAGTACATATATACAATGGACTATTACTCAGACATAAAAAGGAACGAAATAATGCCATCTGCAGCAACATGGATGGACCTAGAGAATTTTCATATTAAGTGAACTAAGTCAGACAAAGAAAGATAACTATCATATGATATCACTCATATGTCTAATCTAATTTTTAAAATGAAACAAATTCTTATTTGAAAAACAGAAACAGACTTACAGGTATCAAAACCAAACTTATGGTTACCAAAGGGGAAACATGGTGGGGAGTGATAAGTCAGGAGCTTGGGATGAATATACACACACTACTATATATAAGATAGAAAACCAGCAAGGATCTGCAGTGTAGCACAGGGAACTCTACTCAAGATTCTGGGAAAACGTATACAAGAAAAGAATCTAAGAAAAGAATGAGTATATGTACATGTATAACTGAATCAATTTGCTGTACACCTGAAATTAACACAACATTGTAAATCAACTATACTCCCATAAAATTAAAATTAAAAAATAAATGTAAAAAATTGTTAATGATCAGAGAAATGCAAATCAAAACCACAATGAGATTATCACCTCACACCCGTCAAATGTTTATCATCAAAAGTCTACAAATAATAAATGCTGGAGAGGGTGTGGAGAAAAGGAAACCATAGTGCACTGTTGGTGGGAATGTATTTTGCTATAGCCACTGTGGAAAACAGTATGGTGGGTCTTCAAAAAACTAAAAATAGAATTACCATGTAATCCATCAATTCCATACCTAAATATACATGCAAAGAAAATGAAAACACTAATTCAAAAAGATATATGCACTCCAGTACTCATAGCAGCATTATTTATGATAGCTAAGATACAGAAGCAACCTAAGTGTCCATCAACAGATGAATGGATAAAGAAGATGTGGTACATATATACAATAGAGTAGTACTCAGCCATAAATACAAGTGAAATTTTGCCTTTTGTGACAACATGGATGGACCTTGAGGGTATTACACTTAATAAGTCAGAAAGAGAAAGACAAATACTATATATTATCACATATATGGAATCTAAAATATGAAATGAGTGAACATAACAAAACAGAAACAGGTATAGAAAACAAACTAGTGGTTACCAGTGGGGATAGGGAAGTGGGGAGGGGAAAGAGAGGCACAGGTGATTAAGAATATATGTAAAATAAATAAACTACAAGTATATATTATACAAGCAAAGGGACTATAACCAATATTTTATAATAACTTTAGAGTATAATCTATAAAAATGTTGAATCACTCTGCTGCATACGTGAAACTTTTATAATATCATAAATCAACTACACCTCAATAAAAAATGTATGTAGATCCCGAGCCCTCGATAAGACGGAACATAACTTCCTACTTTTTAAGTCTGGTATATACATAGTGACTTTTTCAATAAAGTGCAAAATGGAAAGAGGGGGAAAAGAGTAATTTTACAGTGAGAAATCTGGAAACATTACCTCAGCCAGGTAATCAAGGTTAATGTCAACATGCACATATACTTGATATGATGAAAGGGCACTTTACCTGTGCATTTTCCTCCCAAGAACACATAAACTCAATCTAATCACAAGAAAAACATTACACAAATCCAAATTGAGGGACATTCTACAGAATATCAACCAGTTCTACTCCAAAATGTCAAGGCCATCAAAAACAAGGAAATTCTGAGAAATTGTCAAGAGGAGCTTAATAAATGTCCTGTGGTATTCTGAGTGGAATCCTGCAAAAGGACACTAGGTAAAAAGCCAAGGAAATCCGAATGAAGCATGGAATTCAGTTAAAAATAATGTATCAACATTGCTTCATTGATTACAGCAAATGTACCATACTGTTGTTAGATGTTAATAATAGGGGTGTTGCTTAGCGGTGAGGTGTTCAATATGGGCAACAGGGAAATCTGGGGGTCGATAGCATGGTCTAAAACTGAATGTGGTGATGGTTGTGCAACTCTATAAATTAATCAAAAGCAATGAATTGTACACTTACCATGGGTGAATTTTATGGCAAATGATACCTCAATAAGGCTGTTTTAAAATGCATTGGTTGGTATATTGGCAAAATGAGTACAAGCATAAAAAATAATTTTTAAAACACTTAGAATATTTAGTTATAATTACCATTTCAGGACCACACACAGTGCCATCTTCTACAAATGTTTGATCTCTGTCTTCAGCGTTTTCAACTGTGGTCGGTGTATTTTTAGGTGTCCTCTCTGTGGTTAGAAATGTTGATGTACACAGGTCATCTCGTACATGTGTATAAATCACAGATAAATTTCGGCGTCTTACTAAAGCTCTGTGAGGCCAGGTACAAACTAATTTTCCACATAACACATGGCTAGAAGCATAATGAAGAAGAAAAGTTTCTTATTATTTACAGAAATAATGTAGATTGCTGATATAGCTAAATTTTTAAAGTATTTTACTAACTTAAATCCACATTTCAAAAATTTTCTCTAAGTAAATTTTTTTGAGCACACTGACTCATGTATGATGTGGCTCTTTTTGTTTTGTGCAGAAATGTAGCAAGGGAAAAATTAATCATTTTTGCAATCTGACAGCCATGATCTGTTCTATATTAGCTTCTGAAATTTGAGCAAATGATCATTGGTCTTTGATTTTTTTCATTAGTACAATGGGATAAATAATTCTAACTACAAATATTTGATGTATATAAACATATATTTATAATATATAGCATAAATATATAATGAATATAAAGGAACTAACACAATGCCTACCTCAGCCCATCAATAAACACAGGTGATTTTTATGGTCATTATTCTAACATTATAGACACTGAAAACATGTTGTTTGTAGGAAATAGGTAATACTGTTCAGCTCAGATCATGAAACAAGAGAAAACTTGTTATAAAATGGCATCTTAGCTTGTACATAATATGTTCCAGAATCTTAGCAATATACAACCTACATTCCAAACAAAATTATAATTTTCTAAATACATACGGGTAATAACAAAAATCTCGGCCACAGTTTCCAAATTTATCTCCTCTTGAATTTATTTCCTCAAAACAAGCAAACGAAGCACCTCTAGATGCTAAAAGAAAAAAAGAAACTTAAGTAAGTAAATTACAACACACAATTCCAATTATCATGATAGAAATAACAGACCCAGTCTGGAAATTATAATGTTATCCCTAGGAAGGTTTATAACTACCTCGCATTAAAAAGTTGCTGGGGATAGATCAAGATTAATTACTCAAATGGCTATATACTATTAGAAAAATAAGCAGTCATTGCCTCTCTATTCCTCTAAACTGTTTATGCTCTGCCTTAGTTATCTACCAAATGTGAAAATAAAGTTTGCTCTTACTACAAAAAAAAGAGGAAAGAGATGGGATTTATAATGCGATACTGACAAGAAGCCCAAAGAGCATTTCATTTAACTCTTCCTATTCCACACCAGAGTCCTCAGCTGTGTTCCCTAGTAACCTAACAATCACTAAACAAGAACTATTGAATTTTAAAATTAGGAAGGATGTGAATGTTCATCTACTTTGGCCATTTAAAATAGTTCTATCTAATTTTAAGATCATGAAAAATTAGAAGATATTTAAAGCTGCCCCATCACTTTGACTTGATGATTTAGAGGTAGGCAGTGTTGCTCATTTTAATCACATGTAATAAGAACTGAGATCTTTTGTTGTCGCTACGTTTAATTGACAAGGGAATTCTCCTTAGCAATTTCACAGATTTTTATAGTTGGAGAACATGATCTATAAACTTCACTCTATCTCCTGAAATTTTGTCATTTGCAACAATATGGATGGACCTGGATGGTTAAGCTTAGTGAAAGTCATATAGAGAAAGAAAAATACTGTATGTTTTCACTTACATGTGAAATCAAAAAAATAAATAAATAAAACAAGCAAATGACTGTAACAAAAAAGAAGCAGAATCACAGATACAAACTAGTTACCAGTTGAGAGAGGACTTTAGGAGTGGCAAATTATAGGAAGGGGATTAACAGTTACAAACTACAAGGTATAAAAATAAATAAAATATATGAATATAACATACACCACAGGAAATGTAGCCTATATTTTATAATAACTTTATATGGAGTGTAATTTATAAAAATATAAAATCAGGAATTCCCTGACAGTCCAGTGGCTAGGTCTCTGCACTTTCACTGCACAGGGCATGGGTTTGATCACTGCTTGGGAACTAAGATAACACGTGCCACATGGTGCAGCCAAAAATAAATGAATGAGTGAATAAATAAATAAATAAAATCACTATATTGTATACCTGAAACTAACATAATATTGGAAATAAACTATACTTCCATAAAATAAAATAAATTACTGAATTAGAGGAGACAAAAAATAGAATGAAAAGGAATGAAGAACACCTACCTGACCTATGGGGTACCGTCAAAGAAATGACAAACACATCATTGCAGTCCCAGAAGGAGAAGAGAGTGAGGAAGGGATAGAATGCTTCTTTAAAGAAATAATGGATGATAATGTCCCACGCCTGGGAGGGATTTGGATATCCAAGTTTATAAAGCTAATAGATCACCTCAAAATTCAACTCAAAGTAATCTTTTGCAATGCACATAATCATAAGACTGTCTAAACCAAAGACAAGGAGATAATTATAAAAGCAGCAACAGAAAAAAATTTTCTCATACAAGGAAACTCCCATAAGGATATCTAAATTTCTCAGTAGAGACTTTGTAGGCCAGGAGAGAATGGGATGATCTATTAAAACTGCTAAGAGAAAGAAACTGTCAAACAAGAATGTTTTAACCAGAAAAGCTGTTAATCAGAATTGAAGGGGAAATAAAGACTTTCCCTAAGAAACAAAAATGGAGGGAATTCACCACCACTAAACCTGTCTTACAGGAAATGTTGAAAAGAGTTCTACAAGCTGAAGTAAAGGGATGCTAATTAGTAACATTAAAACAAATGAAAATGTGAAACATACTGGTAAAAACAAGCATATAGTCAGATTCAGCATGCTCTAATACTGTAATATGGTGATGTGTCAACTCCTTGATTCTAATATAAAAGTTGGAGGAAGAAAGTATTAAAAATAGCTATAGCTTCAACAACTTTTAGTGGGTACACAATATGAAAAGATGTAGTTCTCAGTACAAGAAAAATTGTAACTATACATGGCGACAGATGTTAACAACACTTATTATGATCATTTTGCAATATTTAAAAGTATTGAATCACTATGTTGCACAACTGATATTAATATAATATCATATTTCAATTATACCTCAATTTTAAAAAAATGTAAGTGGTGACATCGAAAATATGAAAGGGGATAAAAGGATAGAGTTTTTAATGTGATCAAAGATAAATTATCATATGTTTTATGTGAGCCTCATGGTAACCACAAAGCAAACACTTAAAGTAGATACAGAAAAGATAAACAGAAGGGAATCAAAGTATACCACTATAGAAAATCATTAATTTACAAAAGAAGGTAAAAAGAAAAGAATAAAAGAAAAATAGAGTTACAAAACACAAAACACCCAGAAAACAACAAATAAGATGGCATTAGTTGACTGTTAAGTAACAGTAATTCTTTAAACATTAATGAACTGAATTCTCCAGTCAAAAGACATACGGTGGCTGGATAGAAAAAAAAAAAAGACCCTATTATGCGGCCTACAAGAGACTCAGTAGAGTATTAAGGACACACAGAATGTCAAAAGTAAGACATGGTAAAATATATTCCATGCAAGTGGAAGCCAAAAGAGAGCAAAGGTAGCTATATTTACATCAGACAAAATAGACTTAGGCAAAAATAGAAACAAGAGACCAAGATGGTCATTATGTAATGATAAAGAGGTCAATTCATCAAGAAGATATAACAATCATAAATATATATGCACTCAACAATGGAGCACCTAACTATATTAAACAAATACTAACAGATATGAAGGGAGAAATAGACAAAAATACAATAATACTAGGGGAACTCAACACACCACTTTCAACAATGGATAGTTCATTCAGACAGAAAATCAACAAATAAACGTTGGACATGAACCATACATTAAACCAAAGGGATCTGACAAACATATTCAGAAGATTCCATCCAACAGCAGCAGAATTCACATTCTTCTCAAGCACACATGGTACATTGTCCAGTATAGAGCAGTGTTAGGTCACAAAACAAGGCTTAGCAAATTTAAGAAGACTGACATCATAGCAATTATATTTTCTGACCACAAAGGTATAAAACTAGAAATCAATAAGAGAAGTAAAGCTGGAAAATTAACAAATATGTGGATATTAAACAATATGTTCCTGCACAACCAGTGGGTCAAAGAAGAAATCAAACAAGAAATCAAGAAATATCTTAAAACAGACAAAAATATAACATATGAAAATCTCTGGGATGCTACAAAAGCAGTTCTAAGAAGAAAGCTTACAACAACAAATGGTACATTAAGGAAAAATAAGGATCTCAAATAAAGAACCTCACTTTACTTAACAAGGAAGTGGAAGAATAACAAACTAAGGCAAATGTTAGCAGAAGGAAGGAAATAACAAACATCAGAGCAGAAATAAATGAAATAGAGACCAGAAAATAATAGAAAGAAATGAAGAGCTAGTTTTTTGAAAAGAAAGATTTGACAAAACTTTAGCTAGACTAAATCAGAAAAAAGAGAGGGCTCAAATAAATGAGAATTTAAAGAGAAAATATTACAACTGGTACCACAGAGTACAAAGGATCTTGAGAGACTACTATCAACAATTATAAACCAACAAACTGGACAATCTAGAAAAAATGGATAAAATCTTCAAATACATACAAACTACCAAGACTGAAACATGAAGAAATAGAAAATCTGAACAGACTAATTACAAATAAGGAGGTTCAAAAAACTTCCAACACAGAAAAGCCCAGGGCCAGGTGGTTTCACAGGTGAATATCAAACATTTAAAGAAGAATGAATGTCCATCCTTCTCAAACTCTTCCAAAAGATTGAAGAGAAGGAAACACCTGCAAACTCAATTTATGGGGCCAGCATTATCCTGCTACGAAAACCAAAGTGTAAGGATACTACAGACCAATAACACAATAACCCCAATAAATACAGAAAATTACAGACCAGTAACCCAAATAACCCCAATAAATACAGATGCTAAATTTCTCAGAAATATTAGCAAACCAAATTCAATATCACATTAAAATAATAATTCACCATGATCAAGTGGGATTTATCTCTGGGATGCAAGGTTGGTTCAACGAATGGAAATCAATAAATGTGATATGTCACATTAATAGAACGAAAGATAAAATTATATGATCATCTCAATAAATGCATAAAAGGCATTTGACATAATACAACATCCTCTCATGGTAAAAACTCTCAACAAATTGGAACTGGAAGGAACATACTGCAACACAACAAAGGCCATATATGACAAACTCACAGTCAACGTCATACTCAGTGGTGAAAGGTTGAAAACTTTTCTTCCATGATCAGGAAAAAGACAACAGGGCCCATTCTCACCAGTCCTACTCAACATAGCACTGGAAGTCATAGCTAGAGCAATTCGGAAAGACAAAAATTGAAAAGCATCCAAATCAGAAAGGAAGAAATAAAATTGCCCTTGTTTGCAGATGATATGATCTTATATACAGAAAATCCTAAGACTCTACAAAAAAATTCTTAGAATAAACAAATTTGTTTAAGTTACAGGATACAAAACATATATGAGACAGTTGCATTTCTGCCCACTAATAACTAAACATTTGAAAAAGAAAAAGAAACAAAGAAACCAATCCAATTTACAAAAGGATTTGAAAGAATAAAATACTTAGGAATAAATTTAACCAAGGAGGTGAAATATCTGTCCACTGAAAACAAGGTTTTGATGAAAGAAATTGAAGAAGACACAAACAAATGGGAATATATCCCATTATCATGTATTGGAAGAATTAATATTATTTAAATGTCTGTATTACACAAAGCTGTCTATAGATTCAATGCAATCCCTATCAAAATTCCAATGGCATTTTTCAACAGAAATAGAAGAAACAATCCTATCATTTTTGTGGAGCCATAAAAGACCCCATATAGCCAAAGCAATCCTGAGAAAGAAAAATAAGGATCCAGGGGCTTCACATTTCTTGATTTCAAACTACACTAAAAGTTTTAGTAATCAAAACAATATGGTATTGCCACAGAAATAGACACATAGAACAATGGAACATAGTTGAGAGCCCATAAATAATCCCCTACACACAGTCCACTAATATTTGACAAGGGAGCCAAGAAACTCAATAGGGAAAGGAGAGTCTACTCAATTAATGCTGTTGGGAAAACTGCATAGCCACATGCAGAAGAATGCAATTGGACCTCTATCTTACACTGCTCAGAAAAATGAACTTGAAATGGACTAAAGACTCAAACATAAGACATGAAACAGTAAAACTTCTAGGAGGAAACAGGGAAAGAGCTCCTTGACATTTATCTTGGCAGCAGCAATTTACTGAATGTGACACCAAAAGCAGAAGCAACAAAAGCAAAAATAAGTGAGACTACATCAAACTAAAAAGCTACTGCATAGCAAAAGAAGCAAGTAATAAAATAAAAATAAACCTACAGAAGGGGAGAATATTTGAAAATCATATATGTGATAAGGCATTCATATGCAAAGCACATAGAGAACTCTTACAACTCCATAACAACAACAAAGATTCGAAAATGCACAAAGGCTCTGAATAGATATTTTCCATAGAAGACATGCAAGTGACCAATAAGTACATGAAAAGGTGCTCAACATTATGAATTACCAGGAAAATCAAAATCAAAATCACAGTGAGACATCACGTCACACCTTTTACTTTTGCTATTATCAAAAAGATAACAAGCGTTGACAAGGATGTTGAGAAAAGGGAAAACCTGTATACTGTTAGGGGGAATGTGAATTGGTGAAGCCACTATGAGATTCCTCAAAATCTTAAAAATAGAACTACCACATGATGCAGCAAACCCACTTCTGGGTACACATCAAAAGAAATTGAAATAAGGATCTCAAAGAGATATCTGCACTTCCATGTTCATTGCAGCTTTATTCACAATATCCAAAATATATAAACAATTTAAGTCTTCAGCAATGGATGACTGTAAATAAAATATATATGTATAACGGATACCAAAAAACTCCTAGAGGAAAACAGGGGGAGAACACTATTTGATATAAATCGCAGGAATATTTTTTTTTGATTCATCTCCTAAAACAAAGGAGATAAAAGCAAACATAAACAAATGGGACCTAATTAAACTTAAAAGATTTTGCACAGCAAAGGAAACCATAAACAGAATGAAAACACAACCTACAGACTGGGAGAAAACATTTTCAAATGATATGACAGATAAGGGGTTAATATCCTACATATATAAAAAGCTCAGACAACTCAACATTAAAACAAACAAACAAACAAACAAACAACCCGATTAAAAAATGGGCAGAAGAACTGAATAGAAATTTTCCCAAAAAAGAAATGCAGATGGCCATCAAGTGCACGAAAAGATGGTCAACATCGCTAATCATGAGGGAAATGCAAATCAAAACTACAGTATCACCTCACACTGGTCAGAATGGCTATCATCAAAAAGAAAATGAATAACAACTGTTGGGGAGGATGTGAAGAAAAGGGAACCATCGTACACTATTGGTGGGAAAGTACACTGGGGTAGCCACCACAGGAAACAGTACGGAAGTCCTAAAAAACTAAAAGTAGAACTACCATATGACCCAGCATTTCCACTCCTGGATATATATCCAAAAAAAACCCCACAAAAACATTAATTCAAAAAGACACATGCCTCCCAATGTTCACAGAAGCACTATTTACAATTGTCGAAGCAACCAAAGTGTCCATCAACAGATGAATGGATAAAGAAGACGTGGTGTACGAGTACACACACACACACACACACACACACACACACACAATGGAATACTACTCACACATAAAAATGAATGAAGTTTTGCCATTTGCAACAACTTGGATGCACTCGGAGGTCACTGTTAACTGAAATAAGTCAGAGAAAGACAAATACTGTATGATATCACTTATATGTGGAATCTAAAAAATATATCAAAGTAGTGAATATAACAGAAAAGAAGCAGACTCACAGATACAGAAAACAAACTAGTGGTTACCAGGGGGACAGGCAAGGGGACAGGGTCAATATAGGGGTAGGAGGTTAAGAGGTATAAATTAGGTATAAAATAAGCTACAAGGATATATTGTACAACGTGGGGAATATAGCCAATATTTTATGGTAACTATAAAAGTAGTATAAACTTAAAAAGTGTGAATTGCTATATTGTACACCTGTAACATCTATTATTACCGTATATCAACTATACTTCAATTAAAAAATTAAGGAGAGGGGCTTCCCTGGTGGCGCAGTGGTTGAGAGTCCGCCTGCCGATGCAGGGGACACGGGTTCGTGCCCCGGGCCGGGAGGATCCCACATGCCGCGGAGCAGCTGCGCCCATGAGCCGTGGCGGCTGAGCCTGCGCATCCGGAGCCTGTGCTCCGCAGCGGGAGAGGCCACAACAGTGAGAGGCCCGCGTACCGGGGGAAAAAAAAAAAAAATTAAGGAGAGACAAAATCTCTCCAGACAAACAAAAGCTGAAGAAGTTGATGATCACTAGACTTGCCATATATGAAGTGCGGAAGTGAGTGACATCAGCACTGTGTTGGCAGAAGGGATCCTTCCTTTTTGTCCCCCCGCTTAAAAAAAATCCACATATATTTACTACCTATGAATTCTATTTTAGATGCTCATGAAAGCAGAGGATGGGAGGAAATAGTTCCCAAGCTTCAAGAAATTAAAGATTTAGATCTAACTATACAAAATATGATGATAAAATGGTAAAACACTAATTGCTAATGGGCTTCAGAGTAAGGAAATTATGCAATGAAGCTTTAAAAAATATGGAGCTGGATTATTTTAAAGAAATTTTAAAAGAGGTAGGTACTATATATCAAATAAATTGGGTTTTGTTTTCTACAATTTTTATTGTGTTAAAATACACATAAAGTTTACCAATTATTTTTAAGTGTTCAGTTCAGTGGTTCATTGTACATTCACACTGTTGTGCAACCATCACTACCATCCATCTCCATAACTCTTTTTATCTTCTAAAATGGAAATTTTATACCTATTGAATAACAACTCTCCATTCTTCCCTTCCCCAAGCCCCAGCTACCACCATTCTACTTTCTGTATCTGTGATATTGATTACTAAGTACCTCATTTCAGTGGATGATACAGCATTTGTCTTTTTGTAACTGGCTTACTTCATTTAGCATAATGTCCTCAAGGTTCCTCCATGTTGTACTTTGTTGCAAAATTTCCATCCTTTTTAAGACTAAATAATATTCCATTGTGTATATACACAGCAGTTTGCTTTATCCATTCATCCATTGATGGACATTTGGGTTGCTTCCAAGTTTTAGCTATTGTGAATAATGCTGCTATGAACATGAGTGCATAAATATCTCTTCCAGACACTGCCTTCAATTCTTTTGGGTATACCCAGAAGAGGAATTGCTGGATCATATGGTAATTCTATTTTTAATAATCTGAGCAATCTCCATACACAGAATAGTGGTGATGCCATTTAACGTTCCCACCCACAGTGCACAACTGTTGCAATTTTTCCGCATCCTCATCATTTGCTGTGTTCTGTTTTTTTTGACAGCAGCCATCCTAATGGGCGTGAGGTGGTATCTCATAGTTTTGATGTGCATTTCCCTAATGATTAGTGATGTTGAGCTTCTTTTCATGTGCTTATTGGCCATCTGCATGTCTTCTTTAGAGAAATATCTATTCACATCATTTGCCTGTTTTTGAATCGGGCTGTTTGTTTTCTGTTGCTGAGTTTTAGGAGTTTTCTATATATTCTGGATATTAATTTCTTATCAGATGTACGATTTGCAAATATTTTCTCTCAGTGGGAATACAAAACAGCCAGAAAGCAATTAATGAGATGGCATCTGGTAAGTCCTTATATTTGGGGTCAGATAATTCCTTCTTATAGGGGCTGTTTTGTGCATGGTAGGATATTTAGTAGCAACCCGGACTTCCACCCTCTAGAAGCCAGCATCAGTTCCACCCCAGCTGTGAAAACCACAAAGGCCTGCAGGCGTTGTGTCTGGAAGGAAAAGGTCATGGGTGCTGCTAAAAATGCTAAAGTACACAGGATCCCACACCCCCTCACAGAAAGAACTGCCAGGCCTAAGATACTCACAGTGCTGAGGTGGAGAAACCCTGACGTAACTTCGTTTTGCACTCACATTGCTTTATGTGTCAAAACAAAAAGAGCAATGTTCTCCTGGCATCAGCAAGATAACTCCTTAGGAGATAACATTCCTTTCTCAATCCTGTAAGGGTTTACGATGAACCACTACTTGTCTTCTACATGCAGATCTGGACTATGTATACTGTCAGTATGTTACTTTCATGTATAACCCTTTGTCTTGAAAACATATATAACTGTGCCTTGACCTCTAATGGGCAGAACAGTTCTCAGAGCTTTTTGGAAGACTATCTCCTGGGTTATAATCCTCAGATTGGCTTGAATAAAATTCTCTATTTCTTTCTTAGGTTGACTATTACTTAATTATTTTGTCAATATAATCTTCCAAGAAGATGCATTTCCACTTGAGGTCTCTCCCTTGTGCAAATAAGGATTCCTTATAAATTCAGAAGTTTTTTCTCAGAATCAAAAAAACTTTACTTCCTTTAACACTAATATACATTAGGCCTACAAATAGGATACACTTATTTTAAAATTACACTTACATTTTTGTTTTATAGCATTAAATAACAGAGCTTGGGATCATCAGGATTTAGGAACTAAGAAGAAAATAGTGGTCATTACCTCCTCCAATTAATTTTCTGCACTGTCTGGTAAACGACCGACATCGTCCTTTATAACAGAAGGAGTTGCCCGAATCACAACTCTGTCCATCACGTGCATAAGTGTCAGGCACACAGTGTGCATTAGTCCCATCACAGAATTCTCGAAAATCACATTCATCAACTGGTCGCCTACAAGGTGTATTAACTGGTTTTATCTGGAAGAGAAAAGAAACATAAGAAAAAACTCACATATAAATGATACCCAAGTTTTCTTTCTCTTTCAGGCTTGAAGTTTCCATCCATTTTTTCTAAGTTGTTAAGAGCAATGAGGACATTGTCTTCTTGTTAACTACTTAAGCATTGCACAGACAATTAGGTGATTGAATTTTCTGTGCTAAAGGAGTGGGTATTGCTTGTGAGAGATATGAGAAACTCAAAGATAAGCAGACTACCATAATTATAAAAAAGAAAGTAGAGCTAAATGATTATTATAAAAATTACTTTCAACCCACTAAGGATATGCTCACATGGGCAGACTCTGGTTTCTCCATATGCCATCCTTAAAGAAGAAATCAGCAACCATTTACAAAACAATAAATATGCCTCATAAACATTTCGAAAAAAGTTTGCAGGACACATAAGAGAAGGTTTGTTTCATGTACCACATTGAAAACAACTGTAAAAAGTAACTTGTCCAATTATATATCTCTGATCTCTTCAGTGTTCACTGTTAGCTCATAGCTTCCGGGGTTCCCTTTATGCATATCTGCTTTTGAAAACAAACATATAAATACCATGACTGCAAACCCTTTCCTCAACACAAGTCCCAATTCCTTACGGCTATCATCACTATCGTACACAAACTAAGTCGAATTTGTTCTGGCTTCAAAGGTCCTAGAGACCCAGATTATATAACATTCACTGCCCCGCCTCTGAAAGAGGGTTTCTAGATAGTTTTCTCATTTACAACAAGTACCTGCTACCTGCAGCAAATCTGACACAAGTTCTCCAAGAGATGGGTGGGAAGACAAAACAATACTTGTGTTACCCAAGCTTATAGAGTTAGCATTCAAATCAAAACAAATAGTCAAAATTGTTTTCAAAAGAAAATACATATAATGAGAAAGTATTAATATTTGTTTCTTCAGAATATACTTTCTTTTACAAATGTGTATAAATGGCAATCTTCCTTTTATTCTAATTTCTTTTACCATTAAAACTTTATTTTTTACAGCTGTTTAAGGATCACAGGAAAATATGAGGCGAAAGTACAGAGATTTCCCATATAACCCCTGCCCTACACATGCAAAGCAGGTATTACGAGAGTGGTACATTTGTTGCAACTGATGAACTTACACTGACACATCATAATCATTCAAAATTCATGGTTTATATTAAAGTTCACTCTTGGTGTTTTACATTCTACAGGTTTAGACAAATGTATAACGACATGTATCTATTGTTGTGGTATCATACAGAGTATTCGTACTACGCTAATAATCCTTCATGCTCTTCCTATTCATCTCCCCCTCACTCCCTGGCAACCACTGATTTTTCACTGTCTACATAGTTCTGCCTTTTTCAGAATGTCATATAGTTGCAATCATACAGTATATAGCCTTATTAGAGTGCCTTCTTTCACCCAACTTCTTTTTCAATACTTAAATACCCAGATCCTTAAATGCCCTTTGAACCAAGCTTTATCACTGTACTTGCTCCTCCATTAAAGTGTGTTTATTTTCCTTTCCACGGCTCTCTAATTCCCAGACGACCCTAAAACATTAAACCTTCTGGCTCCTTGTTCCACATTATTTTCTCCTAAAATATTTTTATTTTGTTTTTCCTCGTAATTTTTAATTTATTTTTATTCTTGCCAAGACTATCAGTCTGCATGTGTAATGTATAATTCATATACAGGGCTGTGTCCCTTTACACAACTGAACCAGGGATGAGTGAGTTAATTTACTGCTTCTGACCATCATATCAGCCTTAACAGCATAGTAAAAAAATTACTCTGTATTTCAGAAAAATCATCGTCTGGGCTATGTCCCTTTCCATAATTGGGCCCAGGAACTAATTAGAATCATAAATACTATCCCAGTCTCAACAGCAGTTGTTCAGGTATCCTTGTGGACATGTGAATCTTGTTTGTGCAGCAGAAAAATATTTCCTTTTGGCACACGGATGACACTACATAACTATACTAGTTGTATTTGACAGGTTGGTTAATTTTTTTTTAACATCTTTATTGGAATATAATTGCTATACAATGTTGTGTTAGTTTCTGCTGTATAACAAAGTGAACCAACTATATATATACATATATCCCCATATCCCCACCCTCTTGCCTCTCCCTCCCACCCTCCCCATCCCACCCCTCCAGGTGGTCACAAAGCACGGAGCTGCTATCTCTGTGCGATGCAGCTGCTTTCCCACTAGCTACTTATTTTACATTTGGTAGTGTACATATGTCAATGCTACTCTCTCATTTCATCCCAGCTTACCCTGCCCCCTCCCAATGTCCTCAAGTCCACTCTCTACATCTGCGTCTTTATTCCTGTCCTGCCCCTAGATTCATCAGAAACTTTTTTATTTTTTTTAGATTCCATATATATGTGCTAGCATACAGTATTTCTTTTTCTCTTTCTGACTTATTTCACTCTGTATGACAGACTCTAGGTCCATCCACCTCACTACAAATAACTCAATTTCATTTCTTTTTATGGCTGAGTAATATTCCATTGTATATATGTGCCACTTTTTTATCCATTCATCTGTTGATGGACACTTAGGTTGCTTCCATATCCTGGCTATTGTAAATAGTGCTGCAGTGAACATTGTGGTACATGAGTCTTTTTGAATTATGGTTTTCTCAGGGTATATGCTCAGTAGTGGGATTGCTGGGTCATATGGTAGTTCTACTTTTAGTTTTTAAGGACCCTCCATACTGTTCTCCATAGTGGCTGTATCAATTTACATTCTCACCCTCTCCAGCATTTATTGTTTGCAGATTTTTTGATGATGGCCATTCTGACTGGTGTGAGTTGATATCTCATTGCAGTTTTGATTTGCATTTCTCTAATGATTAGTGATGTTGAGCATCTTTTCATGTGTCTGTTGGCAATCTGTATATCTTCTTTGGAGAAATGTCTATTTAGGTCTTCTGCCCATTTTTGGATTGGGTTGTCTGTTTTTTTTGATATTGAGCTGCATGAATTGCTTGTATATTTTGGAGATTAATCCATTGTCAGCTGCTTCATTTGCGAATATTTTCTCCCATTCTGAGGGTTGTCTTTTCGTCTTGTTTATGGTTTCCTTTGCTGTGCAAAAGCTTTTAAGTTTCATTAGGTCCCATTTGTTTATTTTTATTTCCATTTCTCTAGGAGGTGGGTCAAAAGGACCTTGCTGTGATTTATGTCATGGAGTGTTCTACCTATGTTTTCCTCTAAGAGGTTAATGGTGTCTGGCCTTACATTTAGGTCTTTAATCCATTCTGAGTTTATTTTTGTGTATGGTGTTAGGGAGTGTTCTAATTTCATTCTTTTACATGTAGCTGTCCAGTTTTCCAGGCACCACTTATTGAAAAGGCTGTCTTTTCTCCATTTTATATTCTTGCCTCCTTTATCAAAGATAAGGTGACCCTATGTACATGGGTTTACGTTTGGGCTTTCTATCCTGTTCCATTGATCTATATTTCTGTTTTTGTGCCAGTACCACACTGTCTTGATCACTGTAGCTTTCTGGTATACTCTGAAGACCAAGAGCCTGATTCCTCCAGCTCCATTTTTCTTTCTCAAGATTGCTTTGGTTATTCGGGATCTTTTTTGTTTCCATCCAAATTGTGAAATTTTTTGTTCTAGTTCTGTGAAAAATGCCATTGGTAGTTTGATAGGGATTGCACTGAATCCATAGATTGCTTAGGGTAGTAGAGTCATTTTCACAATGTTGATTCTTCCAATCCAAGAACATGGTATATCTCTCCATCTGTTTATATCATCTTTAATTTCTTTCATCAGTGTCTTATAGTTTTCTTCATACAGCTCTTTTGTCTCCCTAGGTAGGTTTATTCCTAGGTATTTTATTCTCCTTTTTGCAATGGTACATGGAAGTGTTTCCTTAATTTCTCTTTCAGATTTTTCATCATTAGTGTATAGGAATGCAAGAGATTTCTGTGCATTAATTTTGTATCCTGCCATTCTAATAGTTTTTTTGATTAGCTCTAATAGTTTCCTGGGAGCATCTTTAGGATTCTCTATGTATAGTATCATGCCATCTGCAAACAGTGACAGTTTTACTTCTTTTACAATTTGGATTCCTTTTATTTTTTTCTTCTCTGATTGCCAAGGCTAGGACTTCTAAAACTACGTTGAATAAAAGTGGCGAAAGTGAACATCCTTTTCTTGTTCCTGATCGTAGATGAAATGCTTTCAGTTTTTCACCATTGAAAATGATGTTGGTTCTGGGTTTGTCATATATAGCCTTTATTATGTTGAGGTAGGTTCCCTCTATGGCTTTCTGGAGAGTTTTTATCATAAATGGGTGTCGAATTTAGTCAAAAGCTTTTTTTGCATCTATTGAGATTATTAAAAACATGGTTTTTATCCTTCAATTTGTTAATATAGTGTATCACATTGATTTACATATACTGAAGAATCCTTGCATTCCTGGGATAAACTCCACTTGATCATGGTGTATGATCCTTTTAATGTGCTGTTGGATTCTGTTTGTTAGTATTTTGTTGAGGATTTTTTGTGTGTGTGACATCTTTGTGTGGTTTTGGTATCAGGGTGATGGTGGCCTCATAGAATGAATTTGGGAGTGTTCCTCCCTCTGCTATATTTTGGAAGTGTTTGAGAAGGATAGGTGTTAGCTCTTCTCTAAATGTTTGACAGAATTCGCCAGGGAAGCCATCTGGTCCTGGGCTTTTGTTTGTTGGAAGACTTTTAATCACAGTCTCAATTTCAGTGCTTATGATTTGTCTGTTTATATTTTCCATTTCTTCCTGGTTCAGTCTCAGAAGGTTGTGCTTTTCTAAGAATTTGTTCATTTCTTCCAAGTTGTCCATTTTATTGGCATATAGTTGTTTCTAATATCTCTCATGATCCTTTATATTTCTGCAGTGTCAGTTGTTACTATTTTTTCATTTCTAATTCTGTTGATTTGAGTCTTCTCTCTTTTTTTCTTTATGAGTCTGGCTAATGGTTTATCAATTTTG